ATTGGACTTTTTCTAAAAATCGTAACAACTAGCCCCGGTCTCCCCTATATATGTGTGCGACTGTGGAAATAGTTAACGTGTAATGGTTCTGAAAGAACAGGCTAGTTCTATACTTGATGTACTTCTCATACCTTAGTGTATTCTCAAGATGATCAATTTTCTACCATCAGAAATCTAGATTTTTTTTCTCTGTAATTTTAGATGTTTGCAGACGTTCAAAACGAGCACCTATCCCGGAGTCCGCTCGTTTCGACTTCATGATCTACTTCACAAGTCAGCTTCACTTGTTCGCGTGGTAGTGGAAGTAAAAGAACCAACTTTGTCACATCAGATTCAATGGACTTTTGGCGCCAAATTGCGCGATCTCACCATCACCGGACACAACTTGCAGCACGTGCTACCCGATGCGTTTCTCGGCTTGCATCACACACACGAGCTAATTTTAAGAATCACGGGTACAGGCATAACAAGACTACCACATCGACTGTTGCGATACCTAACGGACATAAGATATCTAACGTTAGACTTAAGAGAAAATAATCTTAAGAAAATGGAGCCAAGAGTTCTTGAACCAGGAGATGGAGAAACAGGAGAGCCTGATGGAACGAAACATATAGCAGGTAAAAAACATATTTAATAAAAGCTATGTATTCAGTTCCCATTTCACGTTAGAAAAACTTACACGACAAATATCTATGAACTATGTATGACAATTATATTTCCACGAAATTTATAGCTTAAAAATATGGAAATACCTTAAATTAAAAATAGAAGGATTTTTTCTCCAGTTTCTAAATGTAAATCTTTTTGTGTGTTTGGAAAGCATTTTCAATAGCAGAATGTCCAAAGTAAGTCATATCGATAATGGTTTAACAAACTAGGTTCAAGATGACTTTCTTCAAGTCATATTAATCAGGAGTTAACAGATCAGGTTCAGGATGGCCTTCCTTCAAGTCATATTAATCAGGAGTTAACAGACCAGGTTCAAGATGGCCTTCTTCAAGTCATATTAATCAGGAGTTAACAGACCAGGTTCAGGATGGCCTTCTTCAAGTCATATTAATCAGGAGTTAACAGATCAGGTTCAGGATGGCCTTCTTCGAGTCATATTAATCAGGAGTTAACAGACCAGGTTCAAAATGGCCTTCTTCAAGTCATATTAATCAGGAGTTAACAGATCAGGTTCAGGATGGCCTTTCTAAGTTGTATTAATCAGGAGTTAACAAACCATGTTCAAGATGACTTTCTTCAAGTCATATTAATCAGGAGTTAACAGACCAGGTTCAGGATGGCCTTTCCAAGTCGTATTAACAGGAGTTAACAGACCAGGTTCAGGATGGCCTTTCCAAGTCGTATTAACAGGAGTTAACAGACCAGGTTCAGGATGGCCTTCTCCAAGCGATATTAATCAGGAGTTAACAGACCATGTTCAATATGACTTTCTTCAAGTCATATTAATCAGGAGTTAACAGACCAGGTTCAGGATGGCCTTTCCAAGTCGTATTAACAGGAGTTAACAGATCAGGTTCAGGATGGCCTTCTTCAAGTCATATTAATCAGGAGTTAACAGACCATGTACAGCATGACCTTCTCCAAGCGATATTAATCGGGAGTTAACAGACCATATACAGCATGACCTCCTCCAAGCCATATCAGTAGTAGGCTCAGTATGACTTTTTTAAAAAACGTTCACTATTACATTTGAAAGGCTTTCATCCGAAACTGCACATTTTCGTTTAAAATTTCATATTATATATTTGAACATACATTTTTTCGGTTGGTTTTGTTTATGGACAGTGGCATCGTTAAGACTTTTGGTTTGAAGGAGGGTTTGACACAATCTTTAACTCTTAAATAGCGCTTTATTTTGTTTGATTGTCACTGGTTGGTCCACGCTAATTTATACTTAAAATCAGCGAATCCAGTGTTCCAGAGTTAATATTATTCTAGTTATATTGGTAATTTCCAAATAACTGTGTTCTTCCTCGTACTACTGTGTAACGACAACAGTATGAGAAATATTGTACAAATCACGCACTCTATACATACATTTACTTAAGCCTAACACTAGTATACACAGCAACAAAAGGTATGTCTTGTCATTCTTGAAGGTCTGTGCCTTCTATTTTTTATCAGATGTATCGAAAACAAATAATTATCTTCTGGATTGAGTGACCGCCTTGACTCAGGGGATGTTACATCATCAACAGCCTTCCTCTAGCTCGTGCCTAACATAACGATTAACGTCACAGCTGGAGTTGGGAGTTTTAAGTAAACTATCGAATAACTGCATTTCGCCAACTGTTACCATCCTTATATAAATACACATGCGCAGTATGTGTGCGCGAAGTGCACTGAGACGAGTGTGTCACCTCTTCTATGTGTAACTACACGTTTATTTTTCATATCTTCTGGTAAGGCAGTTTTCGAGGGGATATCTAGCTATTAGATGAAGGGAAAATGTCAGCATTGCATGGTTGGATCACTTTTGACCGATGTTGCTGCGTGGTTCAAAATTACTGATGTGATTGAGGGTTGCAGTGAAAAATACTTAATATTTAGATCAATTTTCAGACGAGCAGGCGTTATGAGTCATCGGGCTTTACCGCTAAGCCACTGGGGTGCATGATAAGTTTGATCCGAATCGCTCGAGTACCTTCGAAATATGTTTCTAGCCACTTGCACAGAAATATCGTGACTATATTTACAGTCTAACAAAAAAGGAAAAACTAACAATACAGGCTTAAAATTGATCACTACATGTGATGGTTTACGATTAAAATCTCCAGGAATGATGAACTTATTTACTTAAAAAAAAAGATGTTTCATCCTCTAGTTATTATTCGTTTTCGTTCAGAATTGGTCTAGTCTTAATATATTACCTAAAAATAAGTTAATGTGACTGTATTAACTGTTATTTCTGACGTCACAGATAGGTCACCCTACAGCTCAAATTAATTGCTATATACCGTCTTTCTAGGGGGCGTCTTATTGGAGAACAACCCCTGGACGTGTGACTGTGACTTGATCTGGCTCTCTCATTGGCTGCGACGATGGATGCGTGAAACTCTACAAGTTCAGATGTTACATTTTGATGCGGCTTTATATGTATACAACCTAGCAAGACAGAGCACTTGTAAAATCCCCGGATCAAACACTGAAATCCCAGTAATCGATTTAAGGCTTGAAGAAATGAAATGTACGGAAAATCAACATAATACAGCCGCGGTGATCAGTCTTCATTTGCTGGGGCCTTTTGTGATTTGGGGGTTAGCAGTTTTGATTGGTATTACCGATATATATATATGACGTAATAAACTTATATATTTATGTATATATATATAACTGCGTGTCTTGTATGTTGTTGTTGTTACGGCTTTGAAAGTGTTGGTAAGCCTATCGTTTATGTTTGAAGCCTGATAAATAATAAAATACTAAATCTTTTTACTTTTGTATTAACTGTGTTAGTAAGATTCTTTATTAACCAAGATGTTTCTAATGATACAATAAATAAGTCTCTTGACCATCATCCGAGTAAAAACTAAAAAAAATGTAGTTTGTCTTATATATTTATACATCATAATGATTTAAGAATAAGAGATTTAAAAAGTAGTTATTTACATTACCAGATTGTTCATTATGAGTGACAAGATTTTCGCTGGATAATTCGGAGTTTAGTTTCGCACAAAGCTACTCTAGGGCTATCTGCCTCTAATTTAGAAGTGGTAGACTAGAAGGAAGGCAGCTAATCAACGTCACCCACCGCTAATTCTTGGGCTACTCTTCTACCAGCGAAAAGTGTCATTGACCAGTCACATTATAAAGCCCTTACGGCTGAAAGGGCGAGCATGTTCGGTGATGGGATTCGAATTCGCAAGCCACAGATTGCGAGACGAGCGCCCTCTAATAATCAGGCCATTCCTATCCAATTAGTTTATATTTTGTAAACTTTTTTTTTTAATGAAAAAAATTATAAATGCAATATATCTCCTGGTACTTCTATGCAACACATCAAAACAGACTCCTTTTTACGTTCCTGTAGGTGCACATTTTGGGCCCAACACGTCGGCGAAGTGTTGTTGTAGCCCTATGTTCCACTAGGAACGAAAGGAACTAAGAAGAAGGTGCACGTTTTACCTGGTATAAATACGTCAGTATGAAAAATGTTTGAAGCATCTGTCATAAAATGCTGGTACTTTAGTTTTGAAAAAATATTTGGTGTTTATATAAACTGTTTAAAGAAAAGAATGCAATTTAAACACTAAAAGAAAGCCCTACCTGTCATCAAAGGAAATATTTAGCTTTTGTTTTCGCCATCTAGTGGCACGAAATAGAAACACATAACTTTTCTCTGTGTATGTGTGTGTGAGGAGGGGTGGCGTTATTTTCGTAAGTCAATTTTCAAATGTTTCAAATTGAGTTTTATATGAAACAACATACTTTACATTTCTTCACACCCACAGTGATCGAGCGTTGAGAGATGGGATGCGATCTTTATATCTGGGGAGTGCCCCACATTTGAAGGTCGCGTCCCATCTCCCTGTCTCTCTTACCAAAAATCCACCAATGAGCTTGTTTTCTACAGTATCTCCACCTTTATTATATATGTTCTATGTTCAGAAAAGGTGTTAAGATTCATGTAGATATAACTTTATATTCTAAGCGTGGAAAATCTTTCAAGTACGACAAACACAATGGTACTTTAATCAAAAGAAAATCTAATCTATAAAATCTAGTCGAGTTAGGTGAAAGGATTTATTCACAACTGAAGGTGACACTTTCAGTACATTATACAAGAACAACTTTTTTAGAATTATTAAAGCTATGTTAATGCATTTTAAGAAATGTTTAAATAACTTTACAAACGTTTTTATATTTCTTACAATTTGTTTGTAATTAAGCGCAAAGCTACACAATGGGCTGTCGGTGCTCTGCCCACCACGGGTATCGAAACCCAGACTCTAGCGTTGTAAGTCCACAGACATGCCACTT